CATCCCCTACCCAATCTAAAACCTCCTTGGTTATCTGCAATTCTACATTCTGTCTTGCCTCTAATTCTTTCAATAATAACCCTACCATACACTTTTCCTGGTAATTTTTACAATCTCTTTTGTTCCCCTTCCCTTTATATAAAGGAACTATACATGCTCTCTCCCAGTTCCTAGGTACCTTCCCCTCTTTCATACATTTATTAAACAAAAATACCAACCACTCTCACACTGCTTTTAACATTTCTGTCATGATCCTGTCATTTCCAGCTGCTTTACTCCCTTTCATTCTTTGTAATACCTCACGCACCTCTCCCACACTTGCATCCTGCTCTTCTTCACTCCTAAAAGATGGTATACCTCCCTGGCCAATGCATGAAATTACCTCCTCCCTTTTTTTTGTCGACATGTAAAGGTTCCTTAAAATATTCCCGCCATCTACCCAATACCTCCATCTCCCCATCTACTAACTCCCCTACTCTGTTTTTAACTGTCAAATCCATTTGTTTCCTAGGCTTTCTTAACGTATTGAACTCGCTTTATAATGTGTATTTTTCGTTAATATTTTTGGGTGTCTGGAATGGATTAATTGGATTTACATTGTATTTCATTGTGTCATGTCTAAGGGCAATGTGTGGTGTGAATATAATGCAGAGAATTCGTAGTTCAGAAATTAGGAGAAAGTGTGGGATTACCAAAACTATTATCCAGAGGGCTCAGGAGGGGTTGTTGAGGTGGTTCGGACGTGTAGAGAGAACAGAACAAAACGTAATGACTTCGAGAGTGTATGAATCTGTAGTGGAGGGAAGGCGGGGTAGGGGTCGGCCTAGGAAGGGTTGGAGGGAGGGGGTAAAGGAGGTTTTGTGTGCGAGGGGCTTGGATTTCAAGCAAGTGTGCATGAGCGTATTTGATAGGAGCGAATGGAGACAAATGGTTTTTAATACTTGACTTGCTGTTGGAGTGTGAGCAAAGTAACATTTATGAAGGGATTCAAGGAAACCAGCAGGCCAGACTTGAGTCCTGGAAATGGTAAGTACAGTGTCTACACTCTGAAGGAGGGGTGTTAATGTTGCAGTTTTATAACTGTAGTGTGAAGCACCCCTCTGGCAAGGCAGTGATGGAGTGAATGATGTTGAAAGTTTTTCTTTTTTGGGCCACCCTGCCTTGGTGGGAATCAGCTGATGTGTTAATAAAAAAAAAAATAAAAAATTCTTATGGGAAATATTGCTTCAGTTTTTGTCGAATTCGGTTTTCGTCAGAGACTCGGGAACAAATTAAAGACGAAAACCGAGGTTCCACTGTACTTTCATATGATTCTTGTATTTCTGCAAAAGATCAGAGCAGTTGAGCAAAGTGAGAGTCAGCAGTGGGGTTTTCCTCTGATATACTTCAGGTAATTATAGGAAACTGCGTGATTAATGATGCTGTAAAAGACTAGAGGACAGTTTTCTTGAGTTTAGCTTAGTAAACTCAAGTTTTTTAACCATCAGGCTTTTGTGTAGCTTACCAATTCTTATATTACATAGGCTTGTTCTTGGTGAAAAAGCCTACTTGATAGTGATGTGATGGAGCATAATAGAATTTACACATGTATATATGGATAAAGATATTTTTTTATTAACCCATTGGCCGTTTCCCACCAAGGCAGGGTGGCCCAGAAAAGAAAACTTTCATCATCATTCACTCCATCACTGTGGCACGCTTACACTACAGTCATAAAGTGCAACATTAACACTGCTCCTTCAGAGTGCAGACACTGCACTTCTAAGTACATCAGACATATGCATTTTTTTTTTTTTTTTTTTTTTTTTGGGGGGGGGGGGTCACCCTGCCTTGTTGAGAAATGGCCGACATGTTGAAAAAAAAGTATAAAACATTATATGCTTTTTGAATTACTGAGACCGCTGGTGCCTTCTCCACTCTTGTATAGCCTCAGCCCTCCACACCCTCCAATACCTCTCCATATATCTCATTTTCCTAGGTAGTAGGTTGGTAGACAGCAACCACCCAGGGAGGTATTACCGTCCTGCCAAATGAATGTAAAACAAAAGCCTGTAATTGTTTTACATGATGGTAGGATTGCTGGTGTTTTTTGTGTGTCTCATAAATATGCAAGATTACAGGTATGTCTTGCTACTTCTACTTACACTTAGGTCACACTACACATACATGTACTTGCACATATATACACACCCCTCTGGGTTTTCTTCTATTTTCTTTCTAGTTCTTATTCTTGTTTATTTCCTCTTGTCTCCATGGGGAAGTGGAACAGAATTCTTCCTCCGTAAGCCATGCGTGTTGTAAGAGGCGACTAAAATGCCAGGAGCAAGGGGCTAGTAACCTCTTCTCCTGTATATATTACTAAATGTAAAAGGAGAAACTTTCGTTTTTCCTTTTGGGCCATCCCGCCTCAGTGGGATACAGCCGGTGTGTTGAAAGAATGAAACGTGCAATATTTCAGGTACATCTTGCTACTTCTACTTAAACTTAGGTCACACTACACATACATGTACAAGCATATATATACATACCCCTCTGGGTTTTCTTCTATTTTTTTTCTAGTTCTTATTCTTGTGTATTTCCTCTTATCTCCATGGGGAAGTGGAACAGACTTCTTCCTCCGTAAGCCATGCATGTTGTAAGAGGCGACTAAAATGCCGGGAGCAAGGGGTTAGTAACCCCTTCTCCTGTATAAATTACTAAATTTAAAAAGAGAAACTTTCGTTTTTCTTTTTGGGCCACCCCACCTCTGTGGGATACGGCAGGTTTGTTAAAAAAAAAAAATTATGTGCTTTTAGACAAAAATCATATTCTTTACCTCACTATGTGCATTTTTCAGGGAGTAGTAAAGGAGGAGTGGTTAAACTATTGTCACTGGAAGAGACATTAACGGTGCTCTTGACAGGATTTTTACGTGGGGGAAGCAGTTTTCTTAAAGGTACTGGTGAAATGATCAAAGGTTCTTCATCAGTGTCACGTGAAGTCAGAGTTGGCATCACCCAGGTAAGTAGCAGTAATCCATAATATTCCATTATATATATAAGTGTATGTATAGACTATCATTTTTATTATAGTGCTCTATGCTCATGATATACATTTATAAAAGATGTACTACACATATTTATAGAAATTTAACTTTTTTTTTTTTGTACTGTCATAGGCCTATGTGGTACTTGTTCAAGAATTGGGAGCATTATGGCTGGAGCGAAATATTTCAACCCTCTTGGCCCATCTCACTGAGCTCGTCGCCAGCCCTAAAGCCACCACATCCCATGTCGATGCAGTATATTCACGCAAATGTGTTAATTTTATCCTAAGGGCTACTCTAGGACGCATGATTGGAGAGAAGACACAAACTGCTGCCTGCAAAGAAATTACACAGCTAATTATTAAGCACATGAATAGTGTGGGTATGTAATCAAATTAAAAAAATCTATGCAGGTTTTCTTCCTCCATAAGTCGTGTGTGTCATAACAGGAAACTAAAATGCTGGGAGCAAGGGGCTAGTAACCCGTTCTGTATAAATTACTAAATTTAAGAAGGGAAACATTTATTTTTCTTTTTAGGTCCCCCTGCCTTGGGATACAGCCGGTTCGTTGGAAAAAAAAGTGCAGGTTTTTCTCGTTGTTGCTCCTTTACATCATTTTATCTCAAGATGATGATCATCATATTGTTATCACAATTTGATTATCATTATCATTGCTCAGTAATTTCATTTTCACTTTGCACAACCCAATAATTTTTAACATGAGTAGGTTTTTTTTTTTTTTATTTTTTTTTTTTTTTTTTTTTTTTTTTTTTTTTTTTTTTTTTTTTTTACAACATTGTCTGTTTCTCACAAAGTTTGGGATTTAGGATCAATCATTTAATAGCTGTCTTGCCAGAAGTGTATAGACATCACTAGTCAAATGACCCCCTGAGAAGCATTCCCACCCATCTTTTAAATTATATTTATTATACACAGGAAACCTTCTTATAATGCAGGGGATGCATTCAGAAAAATTGGCACCCCTGTGGAAACTAACTGTATGTAAACAAAAAAACTTATGGGAAAAATAAAATTATGTTTCAGAGACCTCCAAATTTGCCAAATTTTGCCAAATGATAATTTTTTAAATATTCTACTAGGTGCAGATTACTACAGTTTATCTTGCCTTATATTTTAGTTGTAGCTTGTTGAAATGAAAGTATGTATGGAACGTTGATGTGGCACCACTGACTTGAGGTGGGTGGCTGTGGCTCCTGTATTGATGTGGATTCTGAGGTGTCAACAGTTGATGGCTGTACAGTAATAATTTCCATTAAGGCTTTCAGTTTTCCTCTGGCCTTAACTAATTTGTGGATTTCCAGTAATTCTTTCACTAAGTGTTGAGTCCAAGTACTACTACATCAACATCTCTCGGAGCCTCCTTTTTTTTTCTGTTCAAACTGATATAACAATAGAGATGTCCTTTTCTTGTACAACTTTTTCTTACTCCTTTTTTTTTTTTTTAGATGTGAGTGGAGAGGGTACCAAAGATGGAGGCGAAGGTGGTCAGCATGTGTTGGTGTGTCTACTACAAGAACTGGGATGCCTGTTACAGTCCCTCAGCACTACATGTGCTTCTGTAATTCTTGACACACAACTTAGTAAGAATTTTTTTGGATTACTTATTGAATTACAGTGCAGTAGTGATATTCAGTAACTAAAGGTGGGAATCCTGAGTGTGTTTGGTCCCATAACAGAGGGAAGTAAAATGTGCAGTAATTTGTCATCTAATATATTAAATGCACAAGAAGGGTGATTATTGATTTAGGAATTTCAGTAGGCAGTAATACCCATCATCATAAAACATAAAATGTGTGTGATTTCACACTTGCATTGAATGTGTAGCTTTTATAAAAGAGGACATACTGTAGTAAAGCTTTCTTAACCCTTTCAGTGTCGAGATCTCTGCTTTCAAACTTGCACTCAGGGTTGAAGAATTTAAAAAGAAATAAAAATTATTTCAGCTTATTAAATGATAGAGAATCTTTTTCCGAAGGTAATGATACCAAAAGTACGAAATGTGATGGAAAACTTGCGGAATTATGCTCTTGTAAAGTTAGTAGTCTCGGTAATATTTACTCATTGGCGATTTCATCCACTATTTTTGGTGAATTCCATTGTTCCAGTCTACCAAACTCGTAGCTATTTTACTAGTATTCCTTCTATTCTATCGACTGAGTACAAGAAGCTACTCATTTACTTATTTCAGATACCCAATAAAGTAATCAGAAATTGGTAATTTGGCCAGTTTCATGCAGAATTCAACAATTGCCAGTTGGAAAATAAGGTCCAGAATAAACAATGTAGACATTCCTGGCACTAAATAAACATTTCCTCTGTTATGCAGACTACTGCTTTATTGTAATAAGTGTATAAATCATGTCAGTGCATTCCTAAATGCATATTAGACTGGCCAGTTGGATGTCTATTGGACAAGTGACATCATTCGTGTTCAGATTGATTAAATGTTGCTCAAGGGACAGTAAAAGACCCTGAGATTCCTGTGGAAAATCTGTTGACAAGGAAAAATTTAAGTAGGATAGCTGAGGCAGTGACTAGGATAAGACTGCCCTAAGGGTCAGTCATGAGTTAAAGCTAACAAAATTATCATCTTTTTACAGATTTAGTGGATGCAGTAGTTGCTGTTTTGCTTCATCCAAGTAGTGCAGTAAGGTTGAGTGCAGCATGGTGTCTCCGGTGTATCTGTCTTGCCCTACCCTCTCAGCTACACCCCCTCATCACTCGCTGCTGTGATCGTCTTGATGCCCTCAAGTCATCACCAGAAGCCATTGCTGGATATAGGTATGTGTGCTATATTTTTTTTTAATTTTAAGATGTTCATGTATTAAGGTAAATAAAAGATTTAAGGTACAATATTACATTTGTAAAAATATGAGGTTTATGAAGTATAATGGCACTTTACTGTACATCAGTGGCATTACAGACAGACAAGTGAGAGTGGTAGTAGGTTGGTAGACAGCAACCACCCAGGGAGGTACTACCGTCCTGCCAAGTGAGTGTGAAACGAAAGCCTGTATTTGTTTTACATGATGGTAGGATTGCTGGTGTCTTTTGTCTGTCTCATAAATATGCAAGATTACAGGTATGTTTTGCTATTCCTACTTACACTTAGGTCACACTACACATACTTGTACATGTTTATTTATACACGCTCATCTGAGTTTTCTTTGATTTTATCTTAATAGTTTTTGGTCTTATTACTTTTCCTTTTATGTCCATGGGAAAGTGGAATAAGAATCTTTCCTCTGTAAGCCATGCGTGTTATAAAAGTCAACTAACATGCCAGGAACAATGGGCTAGTAACCCCTTTCCCTGTAATAATTACTAAAAAGAATAAGAAAAGAAAATTGTCAAAGTGGGAAGTCTGAATGTGCGTAGATGTTGTGCAAATGATAAGGAAGAGATGATTGTGGATGTTATGAATGAGAAGAAGCTGGATATCCTGGCTTTAACCCTTTGACTGTCGCGGCCGTATATATACGTCTTACGAGGTACTGTGTTTGACGTATATATACTCATAAATTCTAGCGGCTTCAAATCAAGCACGAGAAATCTGGTAGGCCCACATGTGAGAGAATGGGTCTGTGTGGTCAGTGTGCACCATATAAAAAAAATCCTGGAGCACGCAGTGCATAATGAGAAAAAAAAAACTGACCATTTTTTTTAATTAAAATGCCGACTTAGTGGTCTATTTTCGTATAGTATTTATGGTTGTATTCTCGTTTTCTTGGTCTCATTTGATAGAATGGAAAACATATTATAGAAATAGAGGTGATTTTGATTCCTTTTACTATAAAAAGAACCTAGAAATGGAGCTCAAAGTAGGGGAAATGTTTGATTTTTGCCAATGTTCAAAAGTAAACAAATGATTATGCAATAAATATCCAACTAGCCATTCTAATATGCAGTAATGAATGGGTTGATGTTATTTATACAATTATTACAGTATTGCAGTAGTCTGCATAATAGTAAGTCTTCTATTTTTTTGTTTGAATAAAAATTCGAAATAGAAAGCAAGAGTAATATCAGAGGGGCCTGGAGATATGACTGATGAACAAAGAAAATGTTATTTTAGAGCCAGGAATGTCTGCATTGTTCATTCTGGGCCTTATTTTGAAATTGTCATATTTTTTAGTTTTCGTGAAATTGGCCAAATTGCAAATTTCTGACCACATTATTAGGTAGTTGAAATCGGTAAATGGGCAGTTTCTTGTACTCAATCGATAGAAAAAATGGAGTTCTAAAGAAATAGCTATGAGTTTGGTCGACTGGAACAATGGAATTAGCCGAAAATAGGGCTCAAAGTGGGCGAAATCGCCGATTTGTAAACAGCGCCGAGGTCGCTAACTTCGCGAGAGCATAATTCCGTCAGTTTTCCATCAAATTTAGTTTTTTTGGTGTCATTACAATCGGGAAAAGATTCTCTATCATTTCATAAGAAAAAATAATTTTTTTTTTTTAAATTTTGCGACACCAGGAGACACCTCAGGATTGGGGGTTGCAACAGTCAAAGGGTTAAGTGAAACAAAGCTGTAGGGGGCGGGAGAGTTTCAGTGGAGAGGAATAAATGGGAATAGGTTAGGAGTTTCAAATAGAGTTAGAGCTAAAGAAGGAGTAGCAATAATGTTGAAGGATAAGTTATGGCAGGAAAAGAGGGACTATAAATGTATTAATTCAAGGATTATGTGGAGTAAAATAAAGGTTGGATGTGAAAAGTGGGTTATAGTAAGCGTATATGCGCCTGGAGAAGAGAGAAGTGTAGAGGAGAGAGAGAGAGATTTTGGGAAATGTTGAGTGAATGCGTGGGGAGTTTTGAACCAAGTGTGAGAGTAATGGTGGTTGGGGATTTCAATGCTAAAGTGGGCAAAAATGTTGTGGACAGAGTTAGTAGGTAAATTTGGAGTGCCAGGGGTAAGTGAAAATGGGGAGCCTTTAATTGAGCTATGTGTAGGAATAGGTTTAGTAATAAGTATTACATATTTTATGAAGAAGAGGATAAATAAATATACAAGGTATGATATAGCATGTAATGAAAGTGGTTTGTTAGATTATGTATTGGTGGATAAAAGGTTGATGGGTAGACTCTAGGATGTACACGTTTATAGAGGGGCAACTGATATATCGGATCATTGTTTAGTTGTAGGTACAATTAGAGTAAGAGGTAGATGGGAAAAGAGGAAAATGGCAACAAGTAAGAGGGAGGTGAAAGTGTATAAAGTAAGGAAGGAAGAAGTTCGGGTGAGATATAAGCAACTTTTGGCAGAGAGGTGGGCTGGTGCAAGTATGAGTAGTGGGGGGGAGGGTTGAAGAGGGTTGGAATAGTTTTAAAAATGCAGTATTAGAATGGGGGGGCAGAAGTTTGTGGTTATAGGAGGGTTGGGTGAGGAGGAAAGAGGAGTAATTGGTGGAATGATGAAGTAAAGGGTGTGATAAAAGAGAAAAAGTTAGCTTATGAGAGGTTTTTACAAAGCAGAAGTGTTATGAGAATAGTAGAGTATATGGAGAGTAAAAGAAAGGTGAAGAGAGTCGTGAGAGTGCAGGAGAGCAGATGATAGTGGGAGAGGCACTGTCAAGAAATTTTAATGAAATAAGAAAAAATTTTGGAGTGAGTTAAACAAGTTAAGAAAGCCTAGGGAACAAATGGATTTGTCATTTAAAAACAGAGTAGGGGAGTTAGTAGATTGGGAGATGGAGGTTTTGGGTAGATGGCGAGAATATTTTGAGGAACTTTTAAATGTCGACGAAGAAAGGGAAGCAGTAATTTCATGCACTGGCCAAGGAAGTATACCATCTTTTAGGAGTGAAAAAGAACAGGATGTGAGTGTGGGGAAGGTGCGTGAGGCATTATGTAGAATGAAAGGGGGTAAAGCAGCTGGAACTGATGGGATCATGACAGAAATGTTAAAAGCAGATGGGGATATAGTGTTGGAGTGGTTGGTGTTTTTGTTTAATAAATGTATGAAAGAGGGGAAGGTACCTAGAGAGTGGCGGAGATCATATCTAGTCCCTTTATATAAAGGGAAGGGGGACAAAAGAGATTGTAAAAATTATAGAGGAGTAAGTTTACTGAGTACACCAGGAAAAGTGTTGACAAATTAGACACATGTGCAACACTTGGGTATCTTTATTGAGGAAATATTTCGCCACACAGTGGCTTCATCAGTTCATACAAAGGAGAAACGTGAAGAGCAGGAGGAGAATGAGGTAATCAGTCCCTCAACCTTGAGTCGATGTGGACAGTCCATCAATCTTGAATAGAATACAGCATATGAGCGGAGAAGTGGCTTATATATTGTAGTCAGGGGAGGTGCAGCAGTCGTAGGTGGTGTCACATTTGTCCATGTGGAAGTAGGTCGTGCCCAAGGGTTAGGCAAGCGAAGAATTCCCAAGTATTAAGATCCCAAGAAGTTGCAATGTCTGACAGGAATGTATATGAATGGTTCAGAGAACCGACATGTTGACAAATTAGACACATGTGCAACTCTTGGGTATCTTCGCTTGCCTAACCCTTGAGCACGACCTTCTTCCACATGGACAAATGTGACACCACCTACGACTGCTGCGTCTCCCATGACTACGGTATATAAGCCACTTCTCCACTCATATGCTGTATTCTATTCAAGATTGATGGACTGACCTCATTCTCCTGCTCTTCACGTTTCTCCTTTGTATGGACTGATGAAGCCAATGTGTGGCGAAACGTTTCCTCAATAAAGATACCCAAGAGTTGCACATGTGTCTAATTTGCCAAATTGTCGGTTCTCTGAACCATTCATCTACAGGAAAAGTATACGGTGGGGTTATTATTGAAAGAATTAGAGGTAAAACAGAATGTAGAATTGCGGATGAGCAAGGTGGTTTTAGAGTGGGTAGGGGATGTGTAGATCAAGTGTTTACATTGAAGCATATATTTTTTTTATTTTATTATTATCACACTGGCAGATTCCCACCAAGGCAGGGTGGCCCGAAAAAGAAAAACTTTGACCATCATTCACTCCATCACTGTCTTGCCAGAAGGGTGCTTTACACTACAGTTTTTAAACTGCAACATTAACACCCCTCCTTCAGAGTGCAGGCACTGTACTTCCCATCTCCAGGACTCAAGTCCGGCCTGCCGGTTTCCCTGAACCCCTTCATAAATGTTACTTTGCTCACACTCCAACAGCACGTCAAGTATTAAAAACCATTTGTCTCCATTCACTCCTATCAAACACGCTCACGCATACCTGCTGGAAGTCCAAGCCCCTCGCACACAAAACCTCCTTTAAACCCCCTCTCTCCAACCTTTCCTAGGCCGACCCCTACCCAGCCTTCCTTTCACTACATGACTGATACACTCTTGAAGTCATTCTGTTTCGCTCCATTCTCTCTACATGTCCGAACCACCTCAACAACCCTTCCTCAGCCCACTGGACAACAGTTTTGGTAATCCCCCACCTCCTCCTAACTTCCAAACTACGAATTCTCTGTATTATATTCACACCACACATTGCCCTCAGACATGACATCTCCACTGCCTCCAGCCTTCTCCTCGCTGCAACATTCATCACCCATGCTTCACACCCATATAAGAGCGTTGGTAAAACTATACTCTCATACATTCCCCTCTTTGCCTCCAAGGACAAAGTTCTTTGTCTCCACAGACTCCTAAGTGCACCACTCACTCTTTTTCCCTATCAATTCTATGATTCACCTCATCTTTATAGACCCATCCGCTGACACGTCCACTCCCAAATATCTGAATACATTCACCTCCTCCATATTCTCTCCCTCCAATCTGA